AAATGCTGCCCCCCACATGACAACAGGAGGGTGCAACTCCCTTTTCTGTAACTTATTTCACCTCGAAATGTGCCACTCGTTACTCCATGAAAGAAAATGCTACAACGTATACTGTCAGGCACATTGTCTAAAAGGGACGAGACAGACCAGCCAGACTATGGGAAACAAAAGAGGGGAGCCATAACCTCTACAGAGAAGGAGGTTTTTTAGTGCCAGGAAGGGAAAAAGGCCGGCAAGAAATGAGAAAATCTTATACCAACTGAAAACACTTCTGGAGCAGAGGCACAGTCATTGGCCTCCACTCCAGAACAACAGATATTAGAGCCAGCAAATAAACCCCCCTAAATTCCATCAATATAACGACATTTGTCTTTGCAAACATACAGGGTCTAAAGCCGTCAAAAAAAGCAACAAAATTCCTTACCTTAAGGGACTGCTCACGGAGTCTAGAGCAATGTTTGCAGCTTTTACAGAGACCCACATAAAGGATAATATAGATAACGAAATGTGGATCCCAGGTTATAACCTATTCAGATGCGACAGACTAAACAGGCAACAAGGGGGGGTTGGCTTATACGTCACAGAGTCGCTCATTTGCTCAGAACTACTAAATACCTCAATGTACTAAATGTAGTTGAAGTTTTGGCAGTAAAGATTGAAAACCAAAACCTTGTCATTGTGGTTGTATACAAACCTCTGGATGCAACTTCCCAGCAATTCCAGGGACAGCTTTTGAAAATTGACCACTGTCAATTTTCAACTCCTGCCCCCAACATCTTGCTACTGGGAGATTTTAACTTGAGACACCTAAAATGAAGGAGTGTAGCAAATAATATTTTAGCAGAGATCACCCCAGGAGGCAGCTCAGATCAAAATTCACACACACAGGAGCTATTAAATCTCTGCACCAAATTCACCTTAAACTAGCAAATATTAGAGCCTACAGGACTAGAAAATGCGTTGGACTTCATCTTCACTAACAACGACGATCTGATGTGTAATATAACCGTGTCAAAGACATGTATGTACAGGGCTCCTGACCAGCAAAATATGATCAGTCATGAGGGTGCCTTCAGAAAATTCAACTTCAGTAACGAAAACATACAATGGGAACAAGTCATTCATGTCCTAAATGAAACAAGCAGGGAAGATATTCTAAAGAACGCGAATTCGAACCTTTACCTAGAAAAAAATAACTCTGTGGTTCCTGAGGTATGCTCAAGGCACATTCCATTAAAAAAAAAGAAAAACAAGATGTAAACTAAATTAGACACATGTGCAACTCTTGGGTATCTTTAAAGATACCCAAGAGTTGCATTATGTGTCTAATTTAACAACGTGTCGGTTCTTTGAACCATTCATCTACAAAGATGTAAACTAGAAAGACTGAGACACTTCCTATACAGACGAAGGCGAAGAATCACAGAGCTGCTGAGAGGGGTCAATATATCTGAAATACGAAGGGAGGCACTGGTCAGTGAAACAGCAAATATTGAATTTAAGCAGAAGGAATCTTACAGAAGACGAGAATCTCTGGAAGATTTTTAAAGCCATAAAGGAAATTGAAAAAAAAAAACTTCTACATCAAATCTAAGGAAAAAAAAACAACATCCAGTATTGGGCCCCCGCTTAGGCGAGATGGGACATACACAGATGACGGCAAAGAAATGAGTGAGATACTAAAGTCCCAATACGGCTCAGTGTTCATCGAGCCGTTACCCAGACTAAGGGTACACAATCTAAATGAATTCTTTATGAATGAGACCCAAAATTTGGCCATCTCAAAAATCTCTGATAGTATCCTAACACCACAAGACTCTGAAAAGGTAATAAATGACATTCCCATGCACTCAGCCCCAGGCCCGGATTCATGGAACTCCGTGTTCATCATAAACTGCAAGAAGCACTTGTCACGTGCCTTCAGAATTATATGTAGAGGGAGCATGGACAGAGGAGTCATCCCACACTCACTAAAAACAAAAGACATAGCCTCACTCTACAAAGGTGGCAGTAAAGCAGTTGCAAAAAACTAGAGACCATTAGCATTAACATCCCATGTCATAAAAATCTTTTAAAGGGGTACTAAGAAGCAAGATCGCTAACTACGTAAATACCCATCAGTTACACAACCCAGCGCAACACAGGTTCAGAGCAGGTTTCTCCTGCCTGTCCCATCTACTGAACCACTATGACAAGGTCCTGGATGCTATAGAGGATAAACAAAATATAGATGTAGTATACATAGACTTTGCAAAAGCCTTCGACAAGTGTGACCATGGTGTAATAATAGTACACAAAATGCGTGGTAAAGGAATAACAGGAAAATTTGGTAGATGGATCTATAACTTCTTAACAAATAGAAAGAGCAAAGTTTGAGGCAGCTACGGTGAAATGCTCTATTCCATAAAGTACAGTGCTCTCACCCATCCTATTCCTCATCCTCATATCTGAAATAGACAGAGATGTAAGCCATAGCTCCGTGTCTTCCTTTGCGGATGACACCCGAATTGCCATGACAGTGTCCTTCATCGAAGACACCTCAAGACTCCAAGCGGACATCAACCAAATCTTCAAACGGGCTACTCAAAACAATATGAAGTTCAATGAAGAGAAATTTCAACTACTCAGATATGGAAAACTTGAGGAAATTAAAACTGTATCAAGGTATACAACAAATTCTACACATACATTAGACAGAGCGAAAAAGTAATATGAAGGAACTGGGAGTGATAATGTCAGAGGATCTCGCCTTCAAACAGCACAACAATGCATCTACCGAATCTGCTAGAATAATAATAGGATGGATAATGATAATCTTCAAAACTAGGGACGCCAAGCCCATGATGTTTCTCTTCAAATCGTTTGTTCTCTCTAGGATTGAGTATTGCTGTACACTAACTGCCCCCTTCACGGCAGGCGAAATTGCTGACCTGGAGAGTGTACAAAGAACTTTCACGGCACACATAAATACGAGAAGGCACCAAAATTACTGGGAACGGAAGTCCCTTGATTTGTATTCCTTGGAACGCAGGGGAGAGAGATACATGATAATGTACACCTGGAAAATCATAGGGGAATTAGTACCAAACTTTCACACGAAAATCACTCCCTATGAAAGTAAAAGACTCGGCAGGAGATGCAACATTCTCCCAATGAAAAGCAGGGACGCCACGAGTACTCTGAGAGACAACACAATAAGTGTCTGGGGACCAAGACTGTTCAACTGCCTCCCAGCCTACATAAGGGAGATTACCAATAGACCCCTGGCTGTCTTCAAAAAGGCACTGGACAGGCACCTAAAGTCAGTACCTGACCAGCCGGGCTGTGGTTCGTACGTTAGTTTGCGTGCGGCCAGCAGTAACAGCCTGGTTGATCAGACCCTGATCCACCATGAGGCCTGGTCTCAGACTGATCCGCGGGGGCGTTGACCCTCGAAACCCTCTCTAGGTATACTCCAGGTATCAAGGAGAAGTGAATTAGATAGGTAGAAATAATTCAGAAGGAAATTAGTCAGGAGAATATGTTCCGTCCACCTCGCAAAGTTAAGGTGAATAAATTTTATCTACAAACAAGTTTATTGGATATATTATTTCCCCTATTTAAAATTTAGCTAATTAGAAAAAGGGAAAAAATTCTCCTTTATTAATAAGGGACGCTGTTAATCACCAGAGATAGAAAAAAAAAATTTTTTTTTTGCTATATCAAAGCAAATGAAGAATAAATTCAACTTCGTGAAATAAAAGCGAATAAAGCACTTGTACTGATCGAAGTTAAGGTCAATCACTTTCGAACACAAATTGAAGTTAATGTTTGTATACTAAAATGCTTGAAAAGTCTTGGAAAATGTATCGCCTCTGCGCGAAATGAGTGAAAATTGCATAGTGAAAGCAAGTTCTGCTTTCACTATGTAGAAAAAAAATGGTTTACAGTGCCCACTGGTAAGACACCTGTGCAACAGCTGGGTATCTTTACTGTCGAAACGTTTTGCCTGCTTAACAGAAACCTCTGAGCAGGCCATACCTTACGACAATACAGACATCCAGTTGTTGCACAAGAAGATCGAAATGCACCGCCGACGATAGTGACGAAATGTCAGAGGCTGCAGAACAAGCTTCTATCCCTGAGAACGTATCGCTCTGTGTAGAGCTTTATCAAATTCCGTAGCATGAAAAAACAACAAAGAGCTAAACGTCATCTCAATAAATCCTTTTTCCCCAACCCGTCCCATTTCTTCCTCCAGTGAAGACGAAAACCATTTTTTTCCCAAGACAACAAGTTAAAGAGAATAAATACCTTCCGGCCACACGAGGCTAATGCGAATAAACTACGTCAAATACACGAAGTTTGGGACGAATAAACTGCTTGCACTACACGAAGTCAATAGAATAAATTGTGCTCAGCACGCGAGGGTCAAGGGGAATAAAATTGGCGGAGGCCAAGGAAGAGAAAGTTTGCGAGATTAACTTTGACGAGAATTCTTACTTGGGAAGTCTGGGGAAGCACTTAGCGAGTGTTGGCCTTCCAGGGGTCTATTGACCGCAGGCTCGCGATATTAGACTGGCTTCAAGAATCTTAAGTCCCTTTTTCCCTTCACACCGTGTGTGTGTGTGTGTGTGTGTGTGTGTGTGTGTGTGTGTGTGTGTGTGTGTGTGTGTGTGTGTGTGTGTGTGTGTGTGTGTATGTGTTGTGGGTAGTTGTAGTGTTTTTGTAACATTATCACTAGTGGCGTCATATATTAAGTTTTTACTAAATTTTGTAATAATAATTGCACTTTAGTTAATTGTTTGTTAAAAGATACTTCTAAGTAGTTATCTGGAGAGAGAGAGAGAGAGAGAGAGAGAGAGAGAGAGAGAAGAGAGAGAGAGAGAGAGAGAGAGAGAGAGAGAGAGAGAGAGAGAGTGAGGCAGAAAGACTGACAGATAAACATATACAGATGCGGTTTCATCTGTTGCCTGGGCCCCAGCTTCACCTGCTGCCTGGTCTCCAGCTTCACCTGCTGCCTAGTCTCCAACTTCACCTGCTACCTGGCCCTCAGCTTCAACTGCTGCCTGGGCCCCAGCTTCACCTGCTGCCTGGTCTCCAGCTTCACCTGCTGCCTGGTCTCCAACTTCACCTGCTACCTGGCCCTCAGCTTCAACTGCTGCCTGGGCCCCAGCTTCACCTGCTGCCTGGTCTCCAGCTTCACCTGCCTGGCATGCGCCGCCAGCTTCACCTGTCCTGGCCCTCAGCTTCAACTGCTGCCTGGCCCCAGCTTCACCTGCTGCCTGGTCCCCAGCTTCACCTGCTGCCTGGTCTCCAGCTTCACCTGCTGCCTGGTCTCCAGCTTCACCTGCTACCTGGCCCTCAGCTTCAACTGCTGCCTGGGCCCCAGCTTCACCTGCTGCCTGGTCTCCAGCTTCACCTGCTGCCTGGTCTCCAGCTTCACCTGCTGCCTGGTCTCCAGCTTCACCTGCTACCTGGCCCTCAGCTTCAACTGCTGCCTGGGCCCAGCTTCACCTGCTGCCTGGTCTCCAGCTTCACCTGCTGCCTGGTCTCCACTTCACTGCTGCTGGTCCCAGCTTCACTGCTACCTGGCTCTCAGCTTCAACTGCTGCCTGGTCCCAGCTTCACCTGCTGCCTGGTCTCCAGCTTCATCACCTGTGCCTAGCTTCTGCATGCTTCCACCTGCTGCCTGGTCTCCAGCTTCACCTGCTACCTGGCCCTCAGCTTCAACTGCTGCCTGGGCCCCAGCTTCACTGGCTTATTGGACTCCAGCTTTACCTGCTACCTGGCCCTCAGCTTCACATGCTGCCTGGCCTCCAACTTCACCTGCTGAAGGGACTCCAGCTTCACCTGCTACCTGGTCTCCAGCTTCATTTGCTACCTGGCCACCAGTCTCACTTGCTGCCTGGCCACTCAAGCTTCAACTTGCGCCTGGTCTCCCTTCACTGCTGCCTGGCCTCAGCTTCACTTGCTGCCTGGCCCTCAGCTTCACTGCTGCCTGGGCCCAAGCTTCACTGCTATTGGACTCCAGTTTACTGATACCTGGCCTCAGCTTCACTGCTCTGGCCTCCACTTCACCTGCTAGGCTCAGCTTCACCTGCTCCTGGCCTCCAGCTTCATTGTTGACTGGCCACCAGTCTCACTTGCTGCCTGGCCACTAGCCTTCACTGTGCTGCCTGGCCTCTACCCTCCTATCACTGCTGCCTGGCCTCAAGCTTTCACTGCTGCCTGGCCTCCAGCTTCACTTGCTGCCTGGCTCCAAGCTTCACTTGCTGCTGACCTCCAGATTCACTGATGCCTGGTTCCAGCTTCACTTGCTGCTGGCCCCAGCTTCACTTCTGCCTGGCTCCAGATTCACCTGCTGCCTGGCCTCCAGCTCACTTGTGCCTGGCCTCCAGGTTCACCTGCTGCCTGACCTCCGCCTCATCTGCTGGACTAGCCTCCGCTCTCACCTTTGCCTGGCTAAACTTCACTGCTGACCTGGCCTCCAGCTTTCACTTGCTGCCTTGGCCTCCAGTTCACTTGCTGCCTGGCATCAGCTTCACTTGCTGTCTGACCTCCAGATTCACCTGCTGCCTGGCTTCCAGCTTCACTTGCTGCCTGGCCACCATCTTCACTTGCTGCCTGACCTCCAGATTCACCTGCTGCCTGGCCTCCAGCATCACTTGCTGCCTGACCTCCAGATTCACCTGCTGCCTGACCTCCGGCCTCATCTGCTGACTGGCCTCCAGCCTAACCTGCTGACTGACCTCCAGTCTCACCTGCTGACTGGCCTTCAGTCTCACCTGCTGACTGGCCTCCAGCCTCACCTGCTGACTGGCCTCCAGCCTCACCTGCTGACTGGCCTCCAGCCTCACCTGCTGACTGGCCTCCAGCCTCACCTGCTGACTGGCCTCCAGCCTCACCTGCTGACTGGCCTCCAGCCTCACCTGCTGACTGGCCTCCAGCCTCACCTGCTGACTGGCCTCCAGCCTCACCTGCTGACTGGCCTCCAGCCTCACCTGCTGACTGGCCTACAGCTTCACCTGATGCCTGGTGCTCCAGCCTCACTTGCTGCCTGACCTCCAGTCTCACCTGCTGACTGGCCTTCAGTCTCACCTGCTGACTGGCCTCCAGCCTCACCTGCTGACTGGCCTCCAGCCTCATCTGCTGACTGGCCTCCAGCCTCACCTGCTGACTGACCTCCAGTCTCACCTGCTGACTGGCCTCCAGCCTCACCTGCTGACTGGCCTCCAGCCTCACCTGCTGACTGGCCTCCAGCCTCACCTGCTGACTGACCTCTAGCCTCACCTGTTGACTGGCCTCCAGCCTCAGCTGCTGACTGACCTCTAGCCTCACCTGCTGACTGGCCTCCAGCCTCACCTGCTGACTGACCTCTATCCTCACCTGCTGACTGGTCTCCAGCCTCACCTACTGACTGACCTCCAGTCTCACCTGCTGACTGGCCTCCAGCCTCACCTGCTGACTGGCCTCCAGCCTCACCTGCTGACTGGCCTCCAGCCTCACCTGCTGACTGACCTCTATCCTCACCTGCTGACTGGTCTCCAGCCTCACCTGCTGACTGGTCTCCAGCCTCACCTGCTGACTGGTCTCCAGCCTCACCTGCTGACTGGCCTCAAGCCTCACCTGCTGACTGGCCTCCAGTCTCACCTTGCTGACTGCCTCTTCCTCACCTGCTGACTGGTCTCCAGCCTCACCTGCTGACTGGTCTCCAGCCTCACCTGCTGACTGGTCTCCAGCCTCACCTGCTGAATCGGGGCTCCAGCCTCACCTGCTGACTGGCCTCCAGCCTCACATGCTGACTGGTCTCCAGCCTCACCTGCTGACTGGTCTCCAGCCTCACCTGCTGACTGGCCTCCAGCCTCACCTGCTGACTGGCCTACAGCTTCACCTGATGCCTGGCGCTCCAGCCTCACTTGCTGCCTGACCTCCAGCCTCACTTGCTGCCTGACCTCCAGCTTCACCTGCTGACTGGCCTCCAGCTTCACCTGATGCCTGGCGCTCCAGCTTCACTTGCTGCCTGACCTCAGGCCTCACCGGCTGACTAGCCTCCGGCTTCACTTGCTGCCTGGTAACCAGCTTCACTTGCTGCCTGGCCTCCAGTTTCACCTGCTGCCTGGCCTCCAGCTTCACTTGCTGCATGGCCTCCAGCTTCACTTCCTGCTTGGCCTCAAGCTTTGCATACTGCCTGGCCTCCAGCTCCACTTCCTGCCTGGCCTCAAGCTTCGCAAGCTGCCTGGCCTCCAGCTCTACTTGCTGACTGGCCTCCAGCTTCACCTGCTGCCAGACCTCCAGCCTCACCTGCTGGCTGGCTTCAAGCCTCACCTGCTGACTGGCCTCCAGCTTCACCTGCTGACTGGCCTCCAGCCTCATCTGCTGACTGGCCTCCAGCCTCACCTGCTGACTGACCTTCAGTCTCACCTGCTGACTGGCCTTCAGCCTCACCTGCTGACTGGCCTCCAGCCTCACCTGCTGACTGGCCTCCAGCCTCACCTGCTGACTGGCCTCCAGCCTCACCTGCTGACTGGCCTCCAGCCTCACCTGCTGACTGGCCTCCAGCCTCACCTGCTGACTGGTCTCCAGCCTCACCTGCTGACTGGCCTACAACTTTAACTGATGCCTGGCGCTCCAGCCTCACTTGCTGCCTGACCTCCAGTCTCACCTGCTGACTGGCCTTCAGTCTCGCCTGCTGACTGGTCTCCAGCCTCACCTGCTGACTGGTCTCCAGCCTCACCTGCTGACTGGTCTCCAGCCTCACCTGCTGACTGGCCTCAGCCTCACCTGTTGACTGGTCTCCAGCCTCACCTGCTGACTGGCCTCCAGCCTCACCTGCTGACTGACCTCTATCCTCACCTGCTGACTGGTCTCCAGCCTCACCTGTCTGGACTGATTCTCCACGCCTCTCACCTGCTGACTGGTCTCCTCAGCCTCCACCTGCTGACTGGTCTCCAGCCTCACCTGCTGACTGGTCTCCAGCCTCACCTGCTGACTGGTCCTCCTTAGTCTGCCTCACCTGCTGACTGGTCTCCAGCCTCACCTGCTGACTGGTCTCCACCTCACCTGCTGACTGGTCTCCAGCCTCACCTGCTGACTGGTCTCCAGCCTCACCTGCTGACTGGTCTCCAGCCTCACCTGCTGACTGGTCTCCAGCCTCACCTGCTGACTGGTCTCCAGCCTCACCTGCTGACTGGTCTCCAGCTCACCTGCTGACTGGTCTCCAGCCTCACCTGCTGACTGGTCTCCAGCCTCACCTGCTGACTGGTCTCCAGCCTCACCTGCTGACTGGTCTCCAGCCTCACCTGCTGACTGGTCTCCAGCCTCACCTGCTGACTGGTCTCCAGCCTCACCTGCTGACTGGTCTCCAGCCTCACCTGCTGACTGGCCTCCAGCCTCACCTGCTGACTGGTCTCCAGCCTCACCTGCTGACTGGTCTCCAGCCTCACCTGCTGACTGGTCTCCAGCCTCACCTGCTGACTGGTCTCCAGCCTCACCTGCTGACTGGCCTCCAGCCTCACCTGCTGACTGGTCTCCAGCCTCACCTGCTGACTGGTCTCCAGCCTCACCTGCTGACTGGTCTCCAGCCTCACCTGCTGACTGGTCTCCAGCCTCACCTGCTGACTGGTCTTCACACCTGAAAGGAAAAATAAATTTTCTGAAGTGATAATATTACGTGTGAAGCCTCCTCCGTTTTCTCTTTCGTTTCCTCTTCCTTTTTCCTTTTCTCCTCTTCCTCCTTCTCCTTCTTCTCGTCCTCTTCCTCATCCTGCTGCTGCTCCTCCTCATCCTTCTCCTCCCACTTTCTCTCCCTTTAATTTAGTCTCACCTTCCCTTACTCTTCCCTTATCTTTTCCTTTCTCCTACATCTATTCCCTCTTATTTTCCCACTACATACCCTCCCTCCCTTTCTTTCCCTCTCACTCTCCTCCTTCTACGCTCCCTCCTTCTTCCAACGCCCCCTTCCACCATCAGTCCCAACCCTCTCCCTTTCCAAACCATCACCCTTCCCCTTCCCTCCCTCTCCCCACCACCCTTTCCCTCCCTCTCATCACCACCCTCCCCTCCCTCCCCTCCCTCCCTCTGAGTGAGAGGAATTTCGCCTGCCCAGAGGCCAGACTATTGGCTGGCGGCCGAGAATTTTAACGAGAGAAGCCTGGAGAGTGTGTGTCAGTGTAGACTGATATTACGTCTCTTGTGGGGGTGGGGGTGAGGGGACAGTGAGGGGCAGTGAGGGGCAGTGAGGGGAGTGAAGGTAGTAGGTGAGAGTGAGGGAGGTGATATTCACCTCCACAAATTCTGTAATTAACATTCACACCCCTTACTAAAAGTAACATTTATAACCCTTTCAATGTTAAAAGTAGCATTCACATCACTCACTGCTAAAAGTAACACTTATAATGCCTTCTAGTGTTAAAAGTAGCTTTATTTATTTAGCGTATGTCCCACGCCCATATAGGCATGCCCTCCCGACAAGCGAATCAGCTGTCAAGGGCATGACAGGCAAAAGCGCACTTCCTATGGTAAACATCTCGGTTCAACCCCGCCAATCACAAGGTATCCGCTCACAGTTCTCACTGTGTCTCTTGCTTTACAAATTCGTTATTCTGTACATTGTGAATATACTTTGTACATATATTTGCATTCGTATCTTGTAAAGGAAGTATATTAAGTACTTAC